ATGACTCACATTTTTAATGGGCCAGCTATATTTTTTAGAAAACATGAAAGTAAAGCCATATATACTGAAAGAAAAAATATCTGTATTAATCTCTTCAATACATATTTCAGATTAGCAGTGGTTTGTATTTAACAGTTTTGGAAATGCTTATAAATGGTCATTAATACCCAGCTTAGTCCCAAAAGCCTTAATAGGTTTAATAATCTGAATCGTAACAGGAATAGGACTGATGAGGTTTAGGCCCTTTGGATGGGGCCTTGTGGTATGTAGGGAGTGGGTGAAGAAAGACAGCTGTGTCTTTCCTGGTTCCAGGGGTGGCCACGTCTTCACCTAAAAACCAGTTGAAGTCGGCCTTTGTCTTCCTAAAAGCCTGCCTTTCTGCTTCCATATTTTGATGCCCCTTTCTCCTTTCCATTAATTTCATAGTGCTCCCATAATGCCTTTTTTCTCTTCTAAGAGAAAAAGGTAACTTGTATAATTCGAAAGTAGTAAATATTGTATTATAAATAAAATTTAAAAACATAACTTTACGGATACCATCTTGTACAAGCTTTTGCTCATCTTCGAATGACACATGACATTGACGAATACCTATATATCCTTCATCCCGTGTCCTTTGGGACCAACTGGAGCCAGGCCTGCCTCTTCCTCATCTGTTTGAGGCTTTATTCTTCGCATGAAAACTCCCATTCTTTTGATGCTTCTGGATATTTGGCAAAAGCATCTTAAGCGCTAAGATTTTGTCCTTCCCTGTTGGTATTGCCAGCCCATCTTGGTAGTAAAAGTGGTAAAGCCTCACAGGCAAGTGAAGGTCTGTAACTCAGTGCAGAGGCGTCTGCTGCTGCCTTGGTAGGACAGCGTGTTTTGTGAGTCCGTCATAAGCTTCCAAAAGGAGGAGTTTGTCATGTGACCGCTGTCAAATACTTATTGACAAGATTGGTAGGTTTCCTCATAGATTGATATCAAGATTTAAGAACTAATTTTTGAGATACAGGATTGAATTTGTATGCTTGTACCAAAATTTAATCACTCTTGTACTGGTGGGCGCTTAGGTTGTCTTACGTTTGTTGTGTGTCAGGAAGGTGTTACAATGTGTGATCATAGGTGAGCCTAGAGCTTACCTGTGTAAAGTTGTACAAGTGTATTGATGAGATGGATTTCTGGCAATAGAATTATTGAGTGAAAGTGATGTGAATTTGCATTTTTACTAGATACTGCCAAATTGCCCATCTGAGAAGTTACATCAGTTCATGCGGTTTCCGCGTATCTGGGAGTCCTGTTTTCCACAACCTCACCAGCATCGATTGGGTATTATTAGCCAGTCTGATTGGTTCAAGTTGTCTCTTAGATAGAGGTGGATGACTGACACACACACGTGCCTTACGTAGATGGAGACAGACTGTCTGTAGAACATGACCCATCTTTCCATTATGTTGTTAATGCTTTTCCTATTTGTAGGAATCCTTTGTAGACTGTGGAAATTAAAATTAGACTTTGGTCTTATGTGCTA